TGATATAAATACGATCGTCTCAGCAGCCAACTCAGTAAACTGGTACATCAACTCAGAGTCCCAAGTGGAAGCCGCATGGAACCAATTTTAACAACTTTGCGCCCAAGTAACTGAACTTTTCATCCCTTGGTCTGCCCCAAAGGGTCGGAAACATTGCACCCCTTAGATAAACCGAGTGATTCGTAAGTTACTCAGCCGTAAACACAAATGTTGGAACCTGTTTGCCACACTTGAGCCTTGAAATTATACAACACTGATAGGGATAAAGCTATTGCAGAAGCACGCCAATCAAGGATGAAATTCGAAGCACGTCTGGCTCAAAATGCAGAGGCAAAACCTGAGAAAATTTTCTCGTGCATGAACTTCAGGAATAAAACATCCAATGGTGTCCCAAACCTGACTATTGGCAGTGATACAATCGAAGAAGATCAAGAAAAAGCAGAAGCAATGGCGAACTACTTCTCCCAAGTCTTCACTCAGGAGTCATCACTGCCTATAGGATCATCTCTGGCTGCATCAGAAGAACACGGGATAGGTTCCGTTGGCATCAACCAAGGCATCGTGCTCAACTGCCTAAGGAAACTAGATACAGGGAAATCAGTGGGTCCTGATAATCTTCATCCGAGGCTTCTCAAGGAACTATCAGCCCACATAGCCGACCCTTTGACCACGATCTTCAAGCTATCTCTCCTAAATGGAGTGTTGCCGTGTGACTAAAAAGATGCCATAGTAACCCCCATCCACAAAGGAGGGTCAAGACAAAGCCCTTCAAATTATAGGCCTATCAGTCTCACCAGTACTTTAACCAAGACACTGGAAACAATCACCAAGAAAAATACCATGGTATACCAAAAATGGTATATCCAAAACAGTACTTGTGATACAGAATGGAATTCTCAGCATTTTTACTACAGTATTGCATCCAGTTTGTACATTATCAATAAATAGAATTCTACATAGATTGAGGAAACGAACAGTTCATTATTACAACGATACATTGGCATGTCGGTAGCAAAGGTAAAGCTGAAACAGTGTTTGAAGGTGTTAGAAAAGTGGGAGTTGTATTATTAACAGGCGTAAGCGAGAGAAAGAGACAAAGCAGCACATAACGGAAAAAGAAGAGAGAGAAAAGGAAAAGAAAGAAAGAAAATGTTGTACCTATTGATGATGTGGGTTGGAAAGACGAGATCCAGTTGTACTACTGACTATTTAATGGAATAAAGGTGTCAAGCCTAATGCTTTCTTTATCACACAGAACACGAGCTAAGTAGGGTATGGTTGAGTTTTTGTACTTGCTGGTGCGAGCATATAGTTTTCTATATTGGCTTCTGGTTCTACCTGATGAGATGCAGGGGGAGAGTTGTGAGTGAAGAGGGTGGCGTGAGTTAGATAAAATGGATTTGGCCCATTTTTCACATGAGTCCATGTGCCTGTCAACCAGAGTATTAGCAAGCTGGTTAAGTGGCACGTTGCTTACCCTGCTAACAACATTTAACATCCTGCGTAAAATGTTATAGTCTTTCTTCAGTAGCCCAGGAAAAACTAAGGGGGAACAATAGAGAATAATAGGCAGGATGCGAGAATTAACGAATTGTAGGAGTAAGGGTTGGGTAGTACCAGAATGTTTTAACTTCCTAATGTAGAAGGTAAGACGGAATATTTTCTTAGAAATTGCTAAGATATGAGACGACCAGGAGAGATCAGCAGATAGAATGACACCTAGGTATTTAATTTCCGATTTAGTTTCTATTTCAGTGCCGTCTATGTTGCATACCTCGTAAGAGCCAAACAGTTTGTTTAGGTCGGATTTATGCCTAAAGGTGAAATTGACTGTTTGGCATTTGGAGGGGTTTAGGGTAAGACCATTTTCCTTGGACCACTGGCTGATTTCTGACAGAAAGCCATTAAGTTTAGAACAGTCACTTTGACATTTGATAGGCAAAGATACAGACAGATCGTCAGCGTATTTGACAAAATTAATGTCATTTGAAGATGGTAAGTCATGTAGAAAGAACGAAAAGAGAAGTGGGGAGAGTACAGCGCCTTGGGGGACTCCGGCTTCAGTGAGTACAGCAGAGGATGATTTACCTTTGTACACGGTGTACTGCATTCTGTTTGAGAAGTAGGAATGCAACCAGTTAGTAACCCAAGACTCAGTTTTCGTCAAAGAGAGCTTATTTAGCAGGAGACATCTAGGAACAGAGTCGAAAGCAGAAGTGAAGTCAAGAAACGTGCAGCGGACGTACTTGGCACCTTTATCTATTGATGAGACGATGTTGTTGTGTAAGACGGCTGCAGCGTCTAAAGTGCTCCTACCCTGTCTATAGGCAAATTGTTTGGGGTCTTCAAAGCTTTTAAGGGAGGGTTCGAGTTTAAGAAGTATTAGTTTTTCCATAAGCTTTAGAAGCGGGGAAGTAATGGCAGTGGGTCTGAACTTTACGTTCTTGCCGTTTCCAGGTTTAGGGACAGGGACAATTTTGATGTCTTTCCATGCATCAGGTACGATATTTTTAGAGAAAGAAGCATTTAGGATGTTGGTTAATGGAGAACACAACACATCTGCACATTGTTTTAGAACATAGGCAGGTATACCATCAGGACCAAGGCTACGTGAGGGCTTGAGCGTTTTAAGACATTTTAGGACATTGAGAGTATTAAAGTCATGAAAGTTTTCAGCTACATGATAGGTAACATTAGAAGTAGTTAAAGTAGAAGAAGAGCGTATAAAAGACTGATTAAGATCATTAACATCATAAGAGGGAAAAGCGTAACAACGCTTACTATTACCAGTAATTTCATTAAAAAGTTTCCACATGCTGATTGGAGATTTACATGATAAAAGTGTATCATTATATATAGCATTAAGATTTTTGATTTCAGATTTGATCTGAGCATTAATCTTTTTGAGTCCTAACTTATCTTTGGATTTGTATAAAGTTTCTTTTTTCCTGCGAAGTTGTTTGAGATAAGGAGATGAGAAGCGGTCGAGGCGTTTGAATAGAGTTTATTTGGGACAGCATATATCAGGGCAAAACTTAAGATAATCCGTTATATTGACAATTGTGTCATCTAATGAACTTTCATGGAATAAGTCCCAGTTAGTATTTTGTAACATGCTCCTTAGATTGAGTAAGTTTTCGGATGAGTAGCATCTTTGTTGTGCTTTCATAGACAGATGCGAGAAGACTTTAATATGTGTTTTGCTGTAAATTTTTGGTAGAACACGAACAATAGAGTGATCAGAGTTGAGGATCGGTGCACGTTTACGTGCTTCATAGATTCCTTGGTCATTTGTGAAAACTAAATCAAGTGTTTTATCTAGTCGAGTGGGAAATTTGACAATGTTAGAGTGACCAAGTGCTTCAAGGAAGGAGCAATCTGACGAGTTGAAGTCCCCAGTAATAACAGATAGAGAGTTATCGAAGTTGGCAGCAAAATTTGAAAGATTAGATAATGAGCAACTTGGAGATATGTACATGTTTGTGATAAAGATGTGCTTATATTTGGGGAGATGTTTGGGACGACATTTGACGGTGATGCAGTCTATGAAGTCATTTGAGAATGAGAAGCAAACATTATTAGAAATAGACCATTTTGAGTTAATGAAAGTTGCTACTCCACCCCCATTTTTCTTATTACAACATTTTCGGTCTTGTCTAAATAGGATGAAGTCCTTTAGAGAGATGAGATTGTCATCGTACAGTTTGTGTAACCATGTTTCTTGTAATGTGATTATCGCAGTATTGTGATAAGTGTCAGTGGACATCAAGTATTGTAGGTACATTATTTGTTTGGCAGGGAGCGGCAGTTAGTGTTCATTATGACAGGGACCGTAGTTAAGTGTATTGGTGTACGTTTAAGAGCTCTTCGCCAGCCACTACGATGATTCCTCCTTGATTTCTTGGGAATATGAAAGTCATTGGGTCGTAAATGAATGATAAAGTTGCGAGAGTAAATGATCCTTTTAGAATTCATAGGCAGATTACTAGTCTGGCTCAGGGAATTCCTCATAGATAAGAGGCATAGGGTCAGGAACAGTTCGAAACTCTCCTCTTGGACAGCAGGACGTAGCGGAGTGCCACAAGGCACGGTACCCGGACTTCTCCTACTTATTTTGTAAATCAATGAGTTATCTCTGCTCACCGACTCTCCTATGGTCCTATATGCAGATGACTTAAAAATTTTGAGAGAGCTGAAGGGCAACAGTGACACGTCCACGTTGTCAGAGTGGTCCATAGAATGAATGCTCCCGATAAATGTGGCGAAATGTGCAACCATGCGAATTGGACAAGCAAGCACGAGCTCCTACGAATTAGAGGGAATAACACTTCAGTTCAGACTCACTTGGACTTAGGTGTCATAGTCAGCCACGACTTAAAAACTACAGCACACTGTCGCGCGGTGGCTGCACGTAGTTTCAGGTCATTATGGGCAATTCGTAGAGCCTTCACTAGAATCACCAGAGATATGTTCACCTCCTTATATACATCTCTGGTGAGGTCAAGACTGGAAAACTGCATCCAGGCCGCCAGCCCTTGTCTAAAAGGGGACTCACTTATTCTAGAAAGGGTTCAAAGGAAAGCAACACGTATGATTCATGGCATGACTAAATTATCATACGAGGAAAGACTAGACAGTTTAAATCTCTTCTCCTTGTCATACAGTAGGCAGAGAGGAGATTTAATCACAATGTTTAAAATTTTAAATAATGACTACGGACCTGACCTATTTTCTCTTTTCCTTCCCACCAGGTCGGAACACCTTAGAGGACATAGCAGGAGAGTTCAAAAGCAAAGAAGAAATCATATTGCTGTTGAGTACTAGTTCTCACACCGAGTCATAAACTCTTGGAACCGACTCCCAGTAGAAGTGGTGCCTGCAACCTCATCTGATTCGTTCAAGAAGGGTTTGGACAACCACAGAAATTTACTAGAAAAGGATTAACATAGGCTCCAAGCCTTCTATCCTCAACCAATAAATCTGAATCTGAAATCTGAGACCTTGAAATTTGGAAGTGTGAATTTCAATTTGTGGGCTACATTTCATCTACCTTGAGATAGTTGGTCCTAGGTTGACTTTTCTGTGGATTTGTTACGTTACTCATCAGTTTAGGGTTGTTGTGACTGAAATAACGCAGTTAATTCACCGGTTTTGACCAGTTTTCATTAAAATGGGTTGTATTATCAGCTCAGTTGCTTGCTGCTTTTGTAGTTCTGCTGCCAGCCTGTGCTGTGCATGCCTGCCAAGTTGCAAGTCTTCAACTTCTTCACGGATAATGTTTGCATTGATACTTGTTATAACAATTTTGCTTTCGGTTATTGCGCTAATTCCTGGTGTAAGGGATGGTCTTACTAAAATTCCATCTTTGTGTACACCATTTAAATGGTCTTTATCCACTAGTGAAACGAAAGCTGTTCTTGACTGTGATGCCATAACTGGTTTCGGGGCTGTTTATCGCGTGTGTTTCGCCTCAACTATATTCTATCTTGTGTTCTGTCTAATCATGATTAGAGTTCATTCCTCAAGGGATTGGAGAGCGAAATTACAAAATGGCTTTTGGTTTTTTAAGTATCTCTGTTGGTTTGGTTTGTTAATTGGTGCATTTTTCATACCTGTTGAGGGATTTACAAATACTTGGATGGTTGTTGGAATGATTGGTGGCAGTTTGTACATTTTGGTGCAGCTAGTTTTACTTGTTGATTTCGCTCACTCTTGGAATGAGAATTGGATAACCCAGTACGAAGATACTGACAATAAGTGCTATGCAGTGGGTTTGGTTTTCTGTACTCTATTATTCAACGGATTTGCTATCACTGGAATCATTCTTTTGTATGTTTTTTATGCCGGTGCTCCAGAGTGTGGATTGAATAAGGCTTTAATCAGTTTAAATCTAATTGCTTGTGTTTTGGCTTCTGTTGTATCGATTCTGCCAAAGGTACAGGAGCATTTACCACACTCAGGTTTGTTACAGGTAAGTTAGGCTGAAAATCTGTTAATCCTTTACGATACTCTTGCTTTGTTTTGTCTTAGTATTTTTATCAGTGTCGTCTAAAAGCTTTTACTTTGTACTTTTAGTTAGGGCTAAGGTTAAGACTTAGGAGTCGCATGTTAGTTACTATTGCGTAACTTTATGTGGACTACTACTTTGGAATAAGAGTTGCCTAGGTTATATATATATATATATATATATATATATATATATAATGTGGGCTGAATCTGGTGTTTAAAACACTGGGAGAGTGATAGATGTCTAATTTTAGTATAGTATCAGTATAGTTTATTGTCTTTCAAAGAAGAAATGTACTGTTATTTCAACACTAGGTTTAGTATGGTATTTGGAGGGAGCACTACAGTGTTTACTCACAGAAGAGTTCTATGAAGTGATGAGACAAACATCTCAGCCTTACAGACTAAAAAAAAACTGGGGTCGTGGGATATATCTTGTCGTTCCGATTCTCCACCTCAGTGGAGCAGAATTTATCCAGTACATAAAGAGAGCAATTAAAAAACAAAGTATGAACAGGTTATGGAAATTCAAATTTTTGTTTAGTGTTTTACTAACTACATTTTAGACCTGATTTTGCCTACCACCGTCTTAAAAGTCGGCAGTTTTATTTAGATTGCAAGAAGGGTTTAGTTATGTTGAATGAATATGTTGAATCTTTCGATGAATTAAGATTAAGCTTGTATATGTTCGCAATGTATTTCATACCCATTACAAGTCAAACAGGACTTTTTAAAAGCTCACTTCAAACTGAAGTACGCTCCGAGGATGTTGCCTAGTAAGGCAATCAAAGCTTCACAAGTAAACCAACCAGCTCAGAGAACACAACTACACCAAAATGCAGGACTTATCTACTGTAAATCTAGTTTAGGAATGAAATAAATTTGTCGAAACATTAAGCCAGTGACAAAATGTTGGCACGGATAAGTGTACTGTTCCTTCATCTGCGAGATTAAATCATTTTGGCTACTACAGAGTTAATTACACAGCACTTTTCTCTCTGCATTGTGATAACTGTATGATTTTTAAATTTGAAAATGCAACTAGCGTAGTTTCTCCATATTACGTTTCTCCGTCTTATTGAGTACTTATAATCAAATAATGGCTTGATATTACGATAGGTTGAAGAATGCTAGCAAAAATAAAACAACAGGTGAGTCATCGAGTCCTCATTTTTATTGACCGAAATAGCCAAGGTTTGTCACAACACCGGATGCTATAAATAGGTGAAGAAAGATTTTTGTTTTGAGTTTTCTTAAAAACTGTAGCTGGTTCATCTGGTATTAATAAAGTGCTAGGAACTAGTAGCTCGTGAACTTCGGTGATGGTCATGTGACACTGAACTGAACTGGATTTTCAACCCAGAACTTTGCATAAAAGTACAGCAATTCAAGTTGCCACATTCTATAAACCCACACATAGAGGTAGTGAAAAAAACATCAGAGAAACTGTAGTAAACCTTAGTGTACGAGGAAACGAATGGAGAGTGATGAAAATTTAATGGATCTAGAAGTTCATGAATAGTGAGTGTATCTATTCCATGCACTACGATTATGATCCAAACCACCAACAATCACCAAACCATTGGTTCTTAGCACTCCTAGGATCTTGCACGTCGGTGACACAGCGGTAAAATGCCTACCAACCATACAGATGGTTTAGGATTCGATTTCCGGACGATGCACTCTTTTACCTCGCTAAGCCAGTAATAAGACTGGGCTTGAGGCTAGCAACCCCAACCCGTAAAAATAATGCTACTACTACTGAAACTTCAAGCCTCCACTGGGAACGTAATGGAATAAAAGAAACCCCTAGGATCTTAATCAGGCAGTCTGTACCACCCTACGTTCTTCATGTTTAGATTTGACCACCCTTAACTGATAAGTGATCGTAAAGGTTGGAAGACATATATAGGCTAGTTGCCTTTGATCACAGATGTTTACACTGTATCTTCATTGTTAAGTGATATACAGTGAGTAATATCAAGGTTAGCCTTAGACTATTAGAGGTATGGAGGGGGAAGTAAACCGCTCAGTTTATGAAGCTAGCTACATTGATTGAAATGGCTACTGGAACGCGTGTTACGTATGCCAAGCGATCACCTCCCTCGATAAAGGATTTAGTTGTAAAAGAGTTACATATGGTCAAATCAAGATTTGGCATCAATCCATGAAGTCTTTGACAGTTGTTTTGAGCCAGCCACGTAGGGAGGTGTAGACGGCCTGGTTGAGGTCCTAAGAACGCCAATAACCAACGGCTTGATATCGATGGTGATATGGTTCAATATCGTGATCAGCGTGGCGTAGGTACATTTACCCTTTGTAATCTCTGTGCAAAGTTCTATGCTGGAACTTAATCCGATTAGTGATGGGTGGGTGTTAACTTGAGAAAATTTGTTCATTAACTCATTTTATAATTATTCACTCTCCCCCTAATATACGTATATTTTGTTAAATGACTGTAGATTATTTTATCCCATTTTCGTTACCGACTTCTTGACCTCATATGACTATTTTGTCTCTTTCTCTCTCTCTCTCTCGTATAGTCGTCCGTGATAACTGCCTATGTGACCTTTTTAACATGGTCAGGATTAACAAATGGACAAATTCCAGCCTGTAATCCAACTCTGACTATTGCAAATAGTACAGCTGCACATAGTGATTCAGTTGTATTAAAATTCGAATGGCATATTGCTATTGGTATACTTGTGCTTATATTCTCTGTCTTATATTCTACAATTCGATCTAGTACAACTACATCAGCTGGGAAATTTTTCATATCGGTTAGTGTGAAATGTAATTGTTATTTTCTTAAAATGTTGTTGCAATAATTAATTTATTATTTTCAAGAGTTTGTTTTTAGAGGTTTGATTTGTCCCAAGTTTGATCACGGATTGTTATCAGTTAGACAACCAGTGAAAACCAAAGAGTACTGGACAGCTGTTTCGTCCTGATTTGGGGCTCATCATCGGTGCGAACCTACGGCCAGGGTTCCCCCCGGTTGCGAGGCGAGATCTTAGACCATTCAGCCACTGGGACTCGATTCAGTGGCCCATGAATTCCGACTTCTACCAATTCGTGAATTTAGCGCGACCACCAATGGATGTCATCGGCGAGTATTTGTCCTCACTTCCGACCAGGTGGACCCTACTAGTCACGACTTCTCATTAGAACTGCAGGTAAGTTCATCCTGCCGCCAGTCACCAGCTAGCTTGCCTTGTAACCGGAAGGTCCTGGGTTCAAACCCAGGTAGATGCGTACTGAAGATGAGTCCCAAACTAGGACGAAACAGCTGTCCAGTACTCCTTGGTGGTTTTCAATGGTTCTCCAAATGATATTAATCCGTGATCAAATTTGAAATTATTCATAGTTTAAAAGTCGTTATGAGTTTATAAATTATTTTCAGTGTTAGGTGAGTGTACTAAATAGCTGTTTAGTCCTGATTTGAAACTCTTCGACAGTACGTACCCCATCCACAATCGAACCCAGGACCTCCAGGTTACAAGGTTAACTCCTTGACTATGCAGCCACTGGAATGGAGTTTATTGGTGCTTAAATTCTAACTGCTGTCAATTCGCGAGTTTTAGCGAGTTCAAGGGGCTGACGGAACTGATTTGGGGGAAGTGTAGGTGGTTTTTTCAACGTTTACGATACCTCTCTCTTAATATTCTGATGCTTTTTAACTTTTTTTTGACCTTATTATATTCTCCAAGGTCCGAGTATATCGCTTTCGATTCTTTTGTGTTTTGTCATATTTTTATTTCTAGGAAAATTTTGTTATAGCTTGATTCCACACAGTATTTTGATACAAGTGTGGAATTTTCAGCATGTGATATCGGTAGCCCAAATTTAACAGGCCGACCATTGATATCAGGTGTGCGTCGGCCGGGGATCGAACCCCAGACCATGTGCATGGTTGGCGAGCGTCCTAACCGTTGTACCACCGACGCACAAGTGTTGGTTTATAAGATTTGATTGGTTATGCGGTCTATCATGAGCTGACATTATTTAGAGAGCCGTGGGAAAAACCGAGATTACTGGATAGTTGTTTCGCTGGTGGTTTGATTTTCTTTTTATTCCCTTGCGTTCTGAGTAGAACATAGGGCTTCAAGCTTCAGCTTTGAAGTTTCATAGTAGCATTGGTGTTTTTTGTGGAATGGGGTTGCTAACCTCACGTTCAGCCTTCTCTCTTTGTCCGGCTTGCAACCAGTTAGAGGAGGTAAAGGTGTGCTCTGGGAATCGAATCCCACTGACCACGCGCCTGGTTGGCGAGCATTCTACCACATAATGATACACCCATTGACTGGGCATTTATACATTGGTTTTCAGGAGAACCGAACACACCTATGCCTGTCTCTTGCAAGACAAGACCAGCATGCGGTATTATCCTGTGGCACAACCACCTGAGAGCCCTCTCCCTCAGTGGACCATATATATGTTTATCGCGAATTGTCCAAAATTGGAATTCATAGGCCATTGAATCGGATCCCACTGGCTAAATGGTCTATAAGCTTGCCTTGTAACTTGAAGGTTGTAGGTTCGACCCCTAGTGAGTATGTCCTACTGAAGAGTCCCAAACTAGGATGGAACATCTGTCCAGTACTCCATAGTTTTCCAATGGTCCCCTAACTGATTTCAGCTCATGATCGATGTTTGTCTGGAGGCTAGAAGCTCTGTCTACATAGATAGTATTATTATTATTGTTTCCTTTAATTCCTAGAGGAACATAGGGCTTCAGCCGTGCGTCTCCATTGCGTTCGGTTCTCTGCTAGAGTCTTCACCTGGCTCCAAGTCTGCCCACACGTTTTTATCTCCTCTTCACATGACCTCCTCCAAGTCACCCTTGCACTGACGACCGACTCGCTGCTTCCCTTTCGGGTTCCACTCGAGTGATGGCTTGTCTAGTGATGTCACTTGATGGTTTCCTCAGAGTATGGCCAATCCACCTAACTCCATTTCTTCCTGCCTATTTGTTTCACAATCGGTTCCTGCTGGTTGGTTCGCTCATTCCAGAATCTCTGTTCTTATCTCTGGCCATCTGATCTTGAATATTGAGCGAAGACAGCCGTGATGAGAGTTAGTTTGTTTGAGATCTCTTTATGACCGTCAAGTCTCTGATCCGTATAGTAGCACTGATTACATTGGAGTTGAAAATCCGGATCTTATTTTTGATGATGAGTGTTGTTGACCTCCACACAGACTTGAGAGTAGTGAAAGATTGTCTTGCTTTTCCAATTCTTGCTTTGATATCCTCGTCAGTTCTTCGCCTGTAGTTGAAAAGATGCTTCCCAGGTAGGTAAAAGAGTTTGTTTCTTTCAGATAAAAGTCTAAAAGTCGAATATGTTTGAATTTGTGCAGAGATTAATTAAATATAGGAATGTGTATTGCCCTATGAATGTTGATATTTTATGCAAGCAACTCTCTGACTTTAGTGTATCTCTAATCGGGTAAGTTATTCTATTTCATGTGGGAATTTCGATAGCAATCAGGCTTGGGATTTGGTTTGTTTTATTTTATTTTTTAATTTCCTCGGTATTTTTATGAACTCTTGCCAAGGAAACAAAAATACATAATTTCTAGGTGTTGGTTCGCAGAGATTCGGTTGATTTCAAGTTTGATGACGAATTGATATCAGTTAGAGAATCATCGGAAACTACAAGGGAGTACTAGACATAAGTAATAAAACTTGGGCACTGTGGTAGAGTATAACTCCATTATGGATAAGATTTTATTTTGATAAATCACACAGTGTTGTACAGTAATATTTACTAATGACGTTTCGAGCACAAATAATTGCTCATAATCATATCAAGGTACTACTCACACAACTTTCTTGCTTCATTCATATACATAATGGAGTACTAGACAGTTGTTTCGTCCTAATTTGAGACCCTTTAGCATCATATACTCGTGACCCAACCCTTGGGGAGGGAACTCAGGACCTTCGATGTCACGAGGTGAGCCTACTGATCACTCAGTCACCAAGAAGAAATCCAACTTCTCATGGGTGTTTACAGTGCTGAAGAGTCCCAAGCTGGGACGAAATAGTCAACTGTCCCAGTACTCCCTGGTGGGTTTCACTGGTGGTTCTCTATCTAATATCAATCCGTGATTTAACTTAACAGAGTATGATTTTGTGCCATTGTGGTCAAATGGTTCTTTTTGTTTGATTTTGACAATTTTACTCTTTCTCTCCAGTGGGAAGTTGAGAATTTGGAATTTCACTTCGCCTATATTATAATTTTTTTATTGGATATATCATACAGTGTGAGATAGTATCATTTACTAGATGATGAAGTTTCGAAACCTCATCATTCAGTAAATGTTATATCGTTTCACTATGTGAGGCACTTCCAATGAACAAATTAATATTGAATTATATACTACCACAGTGCCAAAGTTATACACATATTTTCTTCAGTAATCTAATAATTCCCATTGTAGCATTAAGAACACAATATTCAGCGAAGAGACTCTTTTCAACGAATTTATTATCAAGCTGTACAATCGTATATATATATATATATATATATGGTTTTTTAAGAAACTATAGTTATAATAATTATAATCATAGTTAAATGTCAAGTAGCAAAACAATTAATGTCATATATACAATAATACATAAGGTGTATAGATGTTGGAAAGGGGTGCATAATTATAGGATTAGTAGGCGAATATAAAATGTTACATAATGCGGTGTGAAATTTGATAAGATAGAATTCAATATTGTAAAAACAAAAAAATTTTGGATTTAGAATGACAAGTGGGAGAAGCGGAACAATTCAGAGTGAGAATAGTGATAATAATAATAATCGTAGTAATAAGGGAAAGGTACATAGAATAACTAAGTAAACAAAATACATAAATAAATAAATGTCTATCCCTCTACGGCCAAGGCAGAAGTAGGCATTGTACATACTTCTTTTGTACACAAAGGTCTGGCTTAAAGTCATGAATTGCCAAGGCCTCTGCTGTCTTTAGAAGTCTGTAACGAAGAAAACGCGGTCAAAAAGTTAGCATGGATTCTATATATGATCTTAAAATCATGGTCAGGGTTGGTAGAGTGACAGGAGTCGATCAGGTGTGTCTAGAATAGAGCTTCGCACACACTTCCTTTCTCCCTTGTAAAACCATGCTGGAATATGTTCTCGTATCCGTGTGGAAAGCGTTCTCTGACTACAGCCAATGTTCCTTGCTCCACAAGAACAGGTGAACTGATAGATGCACATGAAGGCGACCAGACGGGGGAGCTTATCTTTTACAGAGATAAAGGACAACTTACGGCTGGTGAATGTCATTTGTAATTTTGCTACAAAGAGCGTCTTACTGACTGCTTTAGAGAGACGGTTTTTGAGTATATCTGAAGCTTGATCACCTTTGAATTCCAAGTTCATGAATAAGGTTTTCTTTGGAACTGAGTCGGTGACCAGTTTAGACTGCTTATCTTTCGTGTTACTGTCAATCAGTCGGTTCGGGTAACCGTTTTCTGCGAGCGTGGCTTTTAGGAATTCAAGTTCTGAGTCAACGCAGTCAGAACTACAAATGTTTCTTATCCTAAAGCAGAGTGAATGAATTAGGTTCCTTTTCATTGCATTTCATATTATTATTATTATTTCATGTGTTCACACTTTTGATCTAATTCCCTCACCGGATATAATTTCTTAAAAAACTATTTACATACGATTGTACAGCTTGATAATAAATTCGTTGAAAAGAGTCTCTTCGCTGAATATTGTGCTCTTAATTATACACATATATGAGTTTCAGTAAGTTAAAAATCCCG